GTCCAGTACTGAGGTAGGATAGAGGGGACCTGAAATAGTCCATGGGATCTGAAAACATGACTGAAGTGACATTTCTAATAATTATTATAAGCCCTGTACATTTGACATAAATAATTTTCTTATTGAACATATTTGTATGCTTCATGAATCATTCTTATTTTAACATTTATAACAGGGTACAGTGTCAGTATTTCTCCGACTTTGGTCATATTAATAAGTAATGCATTGATTTTTTTTGCAAAATATTATTTATATTTTCATGTATTCATAATACTCTTTCTGATGAAAAATATCTCTAGACTACATGGTTCTGTTATTTTGGTCATCATGATAAGTTGGATCAGTGTTTCATGAAAAGAACTTGTGATATGTATCAAAAATATATGAAGGATTGCTCTGATCTATTGTTGTCCATATATATGAATTTTTCTAATAAAGGTTGTAGTCCACATCATGTATTTGAGAATTGTGACTGCTCTTGTTCCCAATAGCTTGGCTTTTCACTAGTATAATAATAGCACATTTGTTTGGAAAAAAATTTTAGTTAACTGCTTCCTCAACTTTTCCAGCTCGTGTTCAGTGTCAGATTAGAAAGATATAATAATGGGTGTTGAAATAAAATTTGAGGTGCAAGTTCATTTTGCAGTTGTTGGAGTAATAGTAGAGCATTGTCTGTGTAGATCAGTGGTAGAATGCTTGCCCAGCATTTACAAGCCCCTATGTTCCATGAGACAAACACTGAGACAAACAAATAAAAAAACCTAAATTCCCAAACAGAAAATTTCCTGTTGTCTTATAGCTAAGAGCTTTGTGTAAAATTCATTGTATGTGGGAAAATGCATATGCTCATTTTATCTTCTGTACAAATATGCTGGAGAAATAATAGCTTGGCTTCAAGCCCACACTGTCTTTTATCTTCCTTGGAGGCAGTGAGTTGGCAGGAAATCTTGTAAAGTCAAGCTAGCCTGACTATAGTCTAAGGAGGGGATGTTGATTATATTTCAATGTGGGAAAATCTGCATAATCTTCTAGGGTACCAGTCTCAGCATTATTATAAATCTGTAGTGAAGTAGATGCTAACAGAGGTGAGGAAGACAGAATCATTTATTTCCTTTCTTTCTTTGCTAAAATGCTGGGCTTGCCAGATAGCTCAGTGGACTAAAGTGCTTGCTTAAGCAGAGCATAGTGGCGGGGTTCCCCACATGCTGTGTGGGTGCCGCCCCCAGGGCTC